AAGATGAATATTCCCTTCTAAGTGATAAGGCTCAGCGGATTCTAATTCCATTTTCGACGTCGTATTTGTGTGATGCTGTAATAAAAAGCAAGTATAGAGCAAAACTCAACGTCGAAAAGGAAATGAAGGTGGCCGTGTCCAGTTTAACTCCACGATTTGGGAAAATATGCAGTGATTTGCAGGCTCATCTATCATGTTAATAAGTAAATATTAATTTAAAGTTAATAAAGTAAAAAAAAATAATGAAGATACACGAGTTTTATATATTTTTATCTCTTACGAATAGTCATACTTAGGGTAGGGCGCCATGGAAAAATGTTAATTGAAAAAGGGCGCCGCGACTAGGAAAAGTTTGGGAACCACTGCTCTAAGCTACAAAGTGAACCCAAAGAAACTCTGGTCGCTATGACATGGGAAATTGCAAGAGTTGGCTAGCTCACGCTTAATCTCCACAAGAGTCTAAGCTGCGAGTATTCATCGTGTAGAAAGGTGATGGGGATGATAATTCGAAAAGTCGAAAAATCACAACCAGCAACGCATTTTAAAGGCTCTATGGTCATATAAACGTTCCGGCTGAAAGTGTTTCGGAGTTATTCCGTGGTCATGGAGGCCCGCGCCTGGAGCAGAACATGAGGCAGGATAAGGCCACCAATGATAGCGATTGACATTTTTACTAAAAAGACACAGAAGAACTCATAAATATGGACAACAGAAGTCAAGTGAGCGAGAGAGCGTGAGAAAGAGAATATACAATAGATGCTGTATGATGCGCGAAAACTGATCAAATGACGAAAAGATGCAGAAAACAAAACAAGATAAAAAGGAAGCGAACAAAACGAAAAATCACTTTGTTGCGTTACGCAAGACAGGACGCCAGACACGACCTGCGGACGCCAATTACGTCGGCCACAATCACAGGCTAAATGGAATAGGCGAAAAAGGTGGGCCTCCAGCCGCCAACAGGGACAAGGCACGGACATTCATCCTAGAATAGGCATGCACATCAGATGCCGACGTTTGAGCATGATTTAATCATGAACCTGCGAGACAGCATGGCTAAAAGGCATACCGCGTACGAAGGAGGATCACAGTCTACAAAAATCCAAGCGGCCCAAGTACGCATATACATGTGTACGTATGTGTACGTATGTATATATATATATATGGATTACCGGAATGTAGGTTGCTACACTATTGCCGGTTGCTAAGGCAAGAATGCTTTGGGCCTAATAAATTCAAAGTGTGCAAGACGGTAAATGGTCGATTGGAAAGGGTAGACTAGGACGGACAGGACAGGGGACTTGGTCCAAACTGGAGGGGCGAGGGAGAGGGTGATGAAAGGTGAAAGGTGAAATGGGCAGATTTACATTTGGGAAAAGAGTGGGCAAAATAGAAGCGTTGGCGACACGAGGCGCCGAGACACCGGTTGTCGAGGCGAAAAGACACCAGACGAGACGAGACGAGATGGGAGAGGAGAGCTGGCGAAGAATGAGGCTTGGTAGGGCAATTTGGGCTCGACGTCTCGTCGAGGTCAGGCCCAGTCTACATCGGCTTCGTCCAGCTTGGCCACCCGAACGGCCGTCGTCTCGTCCGAGCTGCCGGGCGTCTCGACGTCGTCGTCGGCGTCATTGGCCGACCGGTTGGACCGGGTGATGATGGCCGATATTGAGCCGCGAAGAAAGCTGTAGCGTGTGTGTATCTTCATGTGCCGCATGAGATCATAGTTGCGCACAAACGAGGCACCGCAATACGAGCATCGAAACGGCCTGTTGCCCTCGTGACGCATGATGTGCTCACGCAGTTTGTTGCCCTTTGGGAACATTTTGCCGCAATGCGGAAAGGGACACATTAGCGACTTCCTGAGCTTGCCAACGGGCAAAAAGGGCATGTGGATCTTCTGGGCCGGTGAACAGACCGATTTGGGCGCTATGGGAATTAAATTCTTCAGAATCGGACTCGTGCTGACCGCGGGTGCGCTCGGGCATGGGGCAACGACGGGCTCGGCTAAAGTGGAGGCGGGAAGGATGAATCGGAAAGATGAAGGCGTGGCAACTGCGGCAGCGGTCGTGGAAACCGCGCTTGCGCCAGACGAAGAAACGGCCATCTGGACGACGGGTGGGTCCAACTCGTTGCTGCTGCTATTGCTGCTGCTACAACTTCCTCTACTGCTGCTGCTGCTGCTGCTACTGTTGTTGTTGTTGTTGTTGTTGTTGCGGATGACGATGCTGCTGTTGCTGGTGCTGCATCCAGATCCATTGTCTGCCAGGCCGTCACCGGACGAAGAGGCGTCGGAGCCAATGCCGCTTCTGGTCGTCAAGGCCGGCGGAATGGCGACTGGACATTGGACCTCGGTCGGAGTGGT